ATGCAGCCTCATTATAGGGATGCACTACATCCTTGCCTGCACTACACTGTGGGTGAGTCCTGCACATGTGGCACATGTAGAGCCTGAATAAAGTTTCTCTTATGCAAGTAACGTCATCGCTGTGTGGCTGAGATTGCTTCCTGGACTTTGTACTTTAATGCTGTTTGTATTGTTTTTTTCCCCCTCATAAATTGCACTCAAAAGGTTAAAAGCCAACTTCAGTTTAAAAAAAAATTAAATCCCATTGCTCAGCACTAGATAAAATAAAAAAGCAGCTCTAACTGCAATACGCACCTCCTCCCTGGAGCTGCCGACTCTCCCCCCCCCTCCCCAAGTATTTACCACCAGTGTCCAATTGCAGAATCTGTGCTTCGATCTTTAATCTTTAATCTTGCTTTAATCTTTAATTCTAAGTGTACTGGATATGTTAATTGATATTTTTTTTGGAAAGACAGTGCTTTTCTTTTCTCCTAGAGTTCTTAGGGTGGGTATGTAATTTGCTAACTTCCTTGTACATACATGTTATTGCATTTTCAAAAAAGAACAAAGAAAGGGTATGAACAATAAAAGACATAAACAACAATACGGAAATATTAGAAAAATAACATGTATCCAAAATAGTGTAATCAAGATTAATGAGATGCATCAACAGTCAAAGCGGTAATCAAAAAGGCCCAATAACAGTAGAAGAGAGTCATCCCTCACATAGTGCAAATGCAAGGCCCAATTGGCTATTTGCATCCCAAAAATCCAAAACCAAGACTGAGGCAAACACATAAAGGCAGTTTGCCATGTTAAAAAAGGGAAAGAAACTACACAACCTGAAAGAGAAACTGGTAGAAAGAAAAAGAAAAGAAGGGAGAAAAGAATAGGTACATACTACAATAAAAGAGAAACAAAGAAAAAAGTAAAAGAAATTAGAAGACAGCAGAGGGTATCCTGAGCGAGGCCACGTCGGTAAAAATAGCAAGTCAAAGTTTTAACAAGGAATGGTCAAACGCAGGTGATTGAAGATATTGCACCCAAGGAGACCATATTTTTAAGAACTTTGAGTGAGTATCGTTGAGGACAGCGGTAAGTTTTTCATTGATCATGGTGACAGTATTCCATTGTTTAACCTCCAAAAAGCCCAATGTAGGCTGTCGCCAGGACCTTGCTATCGCCTGCTTTGTAGCAAGAAAAAAATTATATGGCAATTTGCGTTCAAGGGGTTTAAGATTGGGCACTTGTCGAAACAAAAGGGCTTCCTACGGATCACGAGTCAATTTGCGACATAAAACTGAGCAAGAAGATTGTACACTCAATAATTTGCTAACTTCCAGGCATCGGAAACTAACATGCAAACAGAAAGGAGCAACAAAAATTAAGGGTAGGTCCCACCAACACCAAAGTCTTCACTAAATGTCTACCTCCATCATTCCAACAGGATTATATCAATGTTTAATGACAGGAGCATTAGATTTAAATGCATCCTCCAATGTCTTTAACACGTTTTGCTGCTATATACACAGTATATTTAGACAAATGCAGATCGTATTTTCTATAAAAAATTACCTTCTTGTATTTAAAGAAAGATCTTTCATTTTAGAGCTGATTTCAATGAGAGAAGCCTGATGGATAGGGCGCTCCAACGTGTATAGGTATTTTGGAGAAATAATGTTTTGTACTGGCAGTTTAATATCTTTTAGAACATTATTCCTGGAAACATGACTGGTTCTCCCTAATTGTCCTTTTACAGGAATACAAAGCCATGAGCAGATTATCGCTGGGATCAGGTAGCACAATAACAAGAGCATCTTATCAGAGAGGGATCAGCGTGACTGCTCTGACCTGGTATTGGCAGTGTATTATCAGCAAAATAAAATAACACACAGATGTAATTTCCCAAATTTCACTGTTATTAAAAAGATGTTCTGACTTGGAATGTGTTATTACAGAGATGGGATCTTTCTGTCAATCTCAGTACAGAGAATCTTAACCACTTCAGTGCAGAAAAGGTGGAGAAGGATGAAAGAGGGACATTGAAAACAAGCATGAGAAGACATACAGGATAACTATCGAGTCCACAAGTGATCACTGGTCAAGTAAACACTAAAACAATGGCTCCCTGAAATTGGTAGACAACTATGCAGTAGTGCCATACCCAATATTAACAAATATTTTTTGCTCATCACACTTAAAAGAAAATGCTGATCATAACACACAAATATATATGACGAACAAATGCATATCAACTGTCCTAGCTGTTCCAAGGGGAACCCCAGTAATATTTTATTATGCCCTTGTTATAAACAATGCTATCATCTAGCTTTGCAGACTATAAGACTTGCATGGAAAACTCACCTTGAATATGATAATAACACTAAGAGGTTTCATATGAAGAGCCCATCCTGGACAGCACAGATGAGTTGTAATTTGTGATTTCTCATTAAGAGAAGAACTGCTACATTCAAATTCTAAATATTAAAAAAATCTTCATACAGTTGAGTCCTAATTTGTGGTTTTTCATTAAGAGAAGAACTGCTTCAATAAAATTCTGCATCTAAATTCATTCTGTGGGAGTTAACCATCTGTTGTGTGAATGGGGCAATAAAGGAATGTTGAATTTATCTTCTGGTCGAATGTACTTCTATAGTTGTCTTCATACAGAAAATAGTGAATGGGGAAAATTCCACATTAAGGCCACTGGAATTAGCTGGGGATCATAGGGAATAAATACATGTTAGTAACTAGTACATTGTTGCAATTCAAGAGACTGTGGAAGGGATAAGCATATACATAAAACCATTAATACTACAGGGATAGACATGGTTGCATTCATAAGCTCATTCTCTCCATCATTCTCGTCAATTGTATCTCGTTACTAACATTAATTTCCTATGATCTACAGCTCCATCTAGTGGCCATAATGCAATATTTTCCCCATTCACTCATAGCAGTCTTTTCTGCATGAATGAGCCACCATTGCACTAAGAGCATTCGTTTTTGCCCCATTCTCACAGCAGCTGGTTGATTTGCACAGGTTGAATGTACCTGCAGTTTCACTGCACAAATAAGCTAACCTCATTTTTTTTATAACTAGACCCCTTACAGATGTTACATGGTAAACCAGTGCAGCCACAATTGTCTGACTACTAGCTAGTGGGGAGCACCAAGATAGCACTGTATTTCACTGCTCTACTCCCTATTGTTCAGTACACAGGAACTCTTAAAACATCTGGGGAACTCTCTAATTGCAGCTCCTATCCCACCAGAGACATCTTCCTGCCAATTCCGCCATTGTTTTTCCCAGTCGAGAATGTTCATATTGTTTAGGAGGGGGAGCTAAACAGTACTATCTAAAGTCTATATTTTGTGATTAATTTGCTCCTGAAACCATCACGCATTAGGTAATTTTATGCCCAAATTCTTTGTCTTTCTTTTCCTTTAAACCTATCATTTCATAGAAATTAGGACAATCCAGCCCATGCTCCAATTTCAGTGCAATGGGAATTTAGTGGAATTTTTAGCATATTTAAAGGAAAAATAATTATTTGTCAAAATACAATCCCATCAGATCAGATCAAAATACAATCAGATCAGATCAAATAAAAAAACAATTCCATTTGTATCAGTGCATTTTTAGCACTGCTATGTCTGGCATAATACATTTCTTTATGCTGTCATCTCAATTTTGGCAAATTTTACTCTAGTCTTCTGGAGCACTACTGACAGGAACTAAACCAACTCTCCACCAGGCACTACCCATACTTGCTGAGGCCTCTTCGGCATGTAACACTTCTTGTAGTGTTGGATGCCTTTGTCCTCAACCATGCAGCATGGTCATTCCCCAACTGCTATGTCACTGCTGAGTCCTGTAGTAGTGTAGGGGCCAGTGGATGAACCACAGTGTGCATCAGGAAACACAGGCATCTGACACTCCTGGAAGTGTTCAGTGCAGAAGAGGCTTGCAAGGGGTGCAGCACTGGAATGGAGAGAAGGTAGGATTCATGGGCCACCAGAGATGCAAGTATGATAGCTTTTCTATTTCAGTGAACTTTAATTCAGATTTATTTTTAACCTGACAAGAACACTTTTTATATAGGAGGTGGGAAAGTGGGAGTGACCAACATTGAATTGTAGTGGGGCCTTGCGTCATGTAAAAAAGTGGAGTAGAAATACTAGGCAGGGCTGGGATGTGCTAATGCAGCAGACTTTTAACCTTTTGTTTGCCATAATATATATTGCATACATCATAGTTAGCTTAGAGGGGGAGAGTCATGTGGTTTAAAATAAACCATTGGCAGTCAAGTGGTAAGCAAAAACTACCATCAGTTTGTATTTATGTAATAAAAATCCTTGTTTAAATGTATAGGGTATTTTTTTACTTTGTAGATTTGTTTGTTCTTTTGATCTTCTTATCATACTAAATTCAGTAGACTCTCTGCAGTAACGACTGGTAGCCAGAACACGTGCGATTTAAGCCACCACGCTAGGAAAAAAGGTAATAATGCATACATGTGCCCTAGTAATTTATGAAATGTGAACATTTTAATAAAATGTCCACTTTAATAAACTGACCTATAGGATCCTGGAAGATTCTCATGGCCTAATTCCCCAATGGCCCAACACTCTAATCCATTAAATGCCGTATTCATTAAATAGGAAATACTGTGGTCAAAATTAATTTCTGGAGAACTTCTTCACCTTGTTCATACCATTTTAAATAATTTTTTTGCTCAGTGATTCCTGATTTACTGAACATGTAGGGATAGCAGATGTATTAGTAGGATTGCCGGATTAAGGATTGAATGTCAATAAGACACAGGATAAAACAGGAAAAAAAGAACCTTCTCCCATCTGCACTTTTTCTGTTTTGTCTTGGCAGAAACAAATTTTGGCAGAGAAAATGTAATAGATAATTTATCCATGATAATATACCTATGGTAGCAACAATCACTGAAGTTGAACAAATAAGGTGGCTGCACAGGCAATTCTGAAACAGTATGTTTATTCAGGTTTTAGTTTGGTGTTGGCAGGGAGACTTGGGATGGTAACTGTGTGTTCACCATTTTTTGGGTAAGTTCCATAAGAGATAGACAGGTAAAAGCCCAGTTATAGAGATACTCCGCAGGGATGGAGCCCTGTTTCCAAACTGCTCCTCTTGGGATACCTGCAAGTTTAAGTGTACATTATTAAAGATAAACTGGAGTAATATGCCTGAAAGTGTGAAGGACTGCCAACCATACCCTTGGTGCATACTCCACCCCACTATGGTTCACCATAACTTTCTCTTAATGTCAATATAAATGGTAGGTGAAAAGGTGACCCGTGCTATCTTTATACAATTTGCAGTTTCATTAACAAGCACTAAAGGTCCTAGTGGCTATATGACAGCCCTCTTATTTTTACTCTTTGACAACCTTATCTTCATCATCTTTTTTTAAAGCAGAACTCCAGAAAAACAGCTAGATACACAGTTGTAATACACATATTGGAGCAATCTTATCTTCTAAAGGATTTGTAAATCTGTCCACCACCTATGTGATCCGTACAACTCTGCCACTTTTGACTGCTAAGAGATACAGTGGTATTACTCCCTTACCCACAGGCTGTTGATTGGACAATGAAGGAGCAGGAACACACCAATAAGGCACTATCTCTACTCACTCTACTGTTAGCATGTTCCCTATTGGAACATGTGCATGCAGCCTGAATGTCATTAGTCCTTTGTGCTGCTCATACCCTCTATCTGTCTGAGCGCTGCTGTACAGGGAATTACAGGATACCGATAAAAAGACAGACTCAGGGATGTACTGTATGCTAGTTTAATGTAAACATTTATTAAAATGTAAAGGAAACTCCGGGTAAAAATGTGATTAACATTTGCAGTAGGGCTACCCCTGCATTACAAGGGTTAAGTGCTTGTTTTTTGCCTAGAGTCCGTTATAAGTTATACTCACCCAATCAAAGCCAGCCAGCAGTGGCAGCGCTCCCTCCAGCCTGTCTTCTCTTCCACTGACGCGATGGAATCGGCTTGCTCACATCCTATACACTGTGTATAGAATATGATGACTTAGGGAGCTTAGACTGCTGCAGTAGAGGGGGAGAGAGGCTACAGGGACCGGTTTAAGAGCAAACCGGCTCCTAGGATTGGGTGTGTATAACTTTTTTATTTTTGACCCTAGGCAAAAATGAGCAGTTAACTCTTGCCCCACTGCAAGGGTTAAGAAAAATTTTACCTGGAATTCTGCTTTAAAGAAAGGCATAACTACACTGCTGTTGTTGTATGTCTGGAGTTTATTTTCTATGAAAGCAACACATGGCATGATTTTTGTAGTGCTACCCAGCTTAGTTTTAGTTTTAACAGCAAATCTGTAATTCCTATGTTGAATAAAAGACATACTTTGATAAAACAGGTATGTTAATAAAGAATACTGCAGCTTATTTTGCCTTTACATTTGTATGACAATCTATTTAAATGCAATTGAGGGATGTTTATATTTACCTTTAATGTACTTAGCAACAATCTCTGGGTTGATTTGAACAGACTGGGCCGTGGGGTCAAAGGATAAAATCTTGCGGATCAAATCACTATTTACTTTCTGAAAGGTATACATATATTAGCTTGCATTTCTCGAAATGCATTATAAAGAAAAAGTAAACATTTGTGTGTGGCATGCATTTACCTTTTATGTTTCTAAATCATCTTATTGGTAGCAATGGGAAACACACAAAACCACATGTTCTAAAATAACTAAGAGGTGCAGTTTAAATCAGAACGGATTTTATAGGATCAAGAAAGATTTCACACTGATATATAAGGAGGTTTTTCACTCTTTCCTTGAAACAATATGTTAGCAATAGCACTGTAATAATAATAATATGAACACTATGGGGATATAATCTTTAGAATTATTATATGACCTACAGTAAATAGCATGGAAGCAGGTGAATTACATTTTCAAGAGATGGAATATACCATCTTTTAAGAATTTATGTGTAATCATTTCTTTTTTTGACCAATGTTATCCATAGTTGTCCTTTAAAGCCCAATATACTGTAAGTCCCCCACCTTTTATATCTGTATAATCTTGAAAACACAAATGTTATGATTTGCATGATTTTTGTTTCGAATTGCATTATTATACTATTTCCTTTCAGTGAAAATGCTGCTACATGTCCTCACACTCCAGTGCTCTATGCTGGATGAGCGACAATCTCAACACCTATCCACAAGTGTCCTCACCTAGACATGTATTGCTTGGAAAATGGGCGTGTGGGGGTGGGGG